GCGGGGCCCCCGCCCCCTCCCCTCCCCACTCCCCGCTGGAAGTGCCGCCTGAGCCAGCCCTCAGCACCGTCGCATCTCTCTGTGCTCTGACGGGTATCATCACGGGTACAAACACTCAAACATCTTTACGCTACAGTTGCCAAGAGGCCGCATGTCCTGATGGTAATGTGATTTTTACCCGGCTGGGGGGTCAAGCAGTTGGGCAGGTCTCATGAGCATGGCCGGACCGGTGCAGACGTGCCTGGTCCTCACAGCAGCTGTAAACCAGAATCAAGTGCAGTATTGAGTGGGTGCATCTCCCTACTTGTAGATGAAATGCTGCTAGCCGAGGCCCAGGAGTGGGCTGTGGGTTCCATGGCTTGTCTTGTGCCCTGCAAATAGCTTCTGCCAGCAGCCGTTTAAGCTAGGCTGCCGAAAACCCCCGGGACCCTGCCTGGAACCGGGTGTTGCCATTTGTCCCATAGAGTGACCAGCTGCCTTTGTTGCCTTCTCTTTTCTGCTCTCATGCTGTGTGTAGTTGGGGCTGTGAAAACCCGTGACAAGGAATGTGGTGGAGCTACAGGAACGAGAAAATCCTTGTGGAAGGAAATTCCTGGTCCAGCCTGGCAAGAGGAAGCTCACCAGGGTGCTCTAGGTCAGATGCTGTCACTTGCAGTGCTGGTCAGTGAAGAAAGGGAGGAAGAAATGACTCGAGGATGCCTCTTATTTAACGGCGTATTAGGTCACCCCAGAGCTCAGGATGTTGGCTGGGACTTGGTGCGATGCTGTTGCCGCTCTTGGTCAGGTTTGTGTGGCTGTGATGCCAAGGAAGCGGCAGCTCCAGGCCTGTCTGACCTGCTCCAGTTGCCTGCTTGCCTCTCCGTCCTCAAGTTCTGCTCCTGAGACGGGGTTTGCGCTGGTTGGGTGGTGCTTGCCATTAGCAGTGGCAGTGCTGCTCCCGTGCTTGCAGGCTCTTCGCATGCTGCCTTGTTACTTAGAATTTCATGGATTTTTAGTCTTGTGGCAGCCTGAGGTTCCAGTGGAAATTAGAGGCTCTGTGTTGTTAGGAGCTGTACAGACACAAAGAAGGGACTGTCCTGTGCCCTAAGCAGTCAGAAGTGAGTGGATGTCACTTTACAGGTGTGGGGGCTGGAGAACAGTGAGACCAGGGGCAGGAAGACTTTAACAACGCTGAGATTTGGACTGACTCCTGCAAAGAATTGCAGGCAAGGGTTTTGAGAAGTCCCCTTGGTCGTTTTCAAGTCAAGATCACCAGTTCCTTTGAATGTAGGGCCGTGATTCCTCCTGAGCCATTGCAGGTAATGCTGGGGGTGCAGGTGGGTGCAAGCGGAAGGTGGGACAGCCTTTGTGCTGCTGGAGAGCCCACGGGAGCTGCCTGGCCACCCTGCTCTGCTTGCAGGACAGCGAGGTGCCGCTACGGCCGAGCTGTCGGCACGGGGCCTGCCTGCACAGCTGACAGCTCCATGAGGCAGGAGTACGCTCGGCCGCGTCGCCGGCCCTTTTCCTGCCTTGCTGTGCATTCCCCAGTGGTCGCACCCGAGCATTTGTAAATACCCCGACAGGTGATTTTCCTCCCTTGCTCTCTTCCCCTTTCAGGTGACCCCCCAGAGCGGTGGCCTCAGTAGCCTGCGTCGTAGGTGAGACCACAATGCGCAGGCTGCGGTGGCGCAGCTCTCTTTCCCCCGGCAGATGGACTGAGGATGACGAAATGGCTCTGCTCCAGACATCTCTGTCACTGCTGCTTTTGGGCCAAGCAATTTAGGGGGTGGGGGAGAATGTTAAAAAGCATCTGCTTTCCATGGAAGGCTGCAGCTTTTCACTGAGTGAAGCCAAACCCAGGCGTTTTGGCTTGCAAGTGCTTGCTGTTGTGCTTCTTGCGAGCTGGAACCTTCCTCGCTTGCTGCCCCGCGCCTTCCGTGTGGGCCTCCTCCCCGTGGGGACTGCGTTTCCCGTGAAGCATCCCTGAAACTCGGAGAGCAAAAGCTGTAACGCATCAGGGAACTTGGATCTACCCAGGCTGTTTGTGTTGAAATTTTTCTGCGTGGAAAAAAAGTCCTGACTTTTTCAGAAAATGCTTCGACGAGGGCTGTTCTCCCGTTGACAGCTAGCAGAGATTGTCCTCTGTCCGGTGGGGGAGAGGGCTGCGTTCTGTTGCATCTCGTTTAGCCGTGCGGCTGCGGGCAGGGGTGCCTGTGTGTTTGCATGGGACGGAGCTTTCCCACTCCCCCCGGCCGCTGTGGTGCCGTTCGGCGAAGAAGCTTTTCTCTCTGCTGTGACACCCCAAAAAGCTGGGCACATCTGAAATGTCCCCAGTCTGGTTTTGCACAGGATTTCAAGCTAGTTTAAGTAACCATCTTCATAAAATGGGGAAGGTTTCAACATCAACATTTCCTGCATGTTCATTCTCAGCTCATATATTTGCATGAAATCATTACTTGTCTCTGAAAAGGTAACATGATCTAGGCACATTTTTACCAGTTGGAGTTTTTATAAAAAGGCTAAAATTAAAAGGCTTGTTTGCTTTGATAAGGATTTAGCTGTAATGGAAACACCTTTTATTGGAAGATGTTTTTATTAGTTCTCATTCTTGTGTTTGCAGTGAACTGACAAAGGGAATTTTCCCTCTTTAAATCTGTATTAGACGGACACTCCTTGCCTTTGTTATTCTGTTGTAAAAACCAGGAGGACATTTCCATGTCTTCCTTCAGCCATTCACCAGCCCCCCTTGAGTAGAAAGAAATAGTATTGTTTATTACACCAAAAAATCCTGCTTGAAAAAGCAGAGAAGCTTTGAGGCACACGAGACCTTCTTCAGATCGGTGATGAAAACAGACCTAGAGTTAATTGCCGCTGCCCAACCTTAGAGAGTAAACCCCAGGAGGGTTTTTTTTCCCCCCTCTCAAACATAATGTGCTTGAACAACATGTGGGATATAGGCCATGTTGTGTGGCTGATGGTTTTTTCTGTTTGTTGAAAGTTGCAAACTGGTACAAAACAAGTTTGTTCTTCGTTGCAGCCAATTTCAGCCAGAGCTGAACAGGCTGTTCCCAGAGTCATCAAAACCTATGTAAACACGGCAGATTGACGTTTCCGCTAACAGATGGTCCATCGGGGATTGCAGGAGAGCTGCCTGTTCATTGCCACGTTTTTTTGGTATTCACAAGATGCCTGCAAGAAGGTTTTCAAGTTTGCTCTGCGTGTGTGTCTGGATGCGTACGATGCTCAGATCTTTCTGATGGCAAATACGCATGTAAGCATCTCTAACGGGAGACACGTTTGGGTGCGTGTGTGCGTATTTGTGTAGGTTCAACGCTGAAATTTCCAGGCAGTATTTGCTCAGTAACGTATGTTCCTTGGAAAAGGCACAGAAGCCATCAGTCAGCCATGTAGCTGCAGAAAGCCTCTCAGATGGCAGCAGAAGCAGCCTGAACACGTGCCTTGAGTACTCGCGTGTAGTGATACTCCTTGTTGTCAGCTCTGTGTGATCGCTTGGTTGATTTCTTGCTGTTGAAGTGTGATTTAATGATTGTCCACTTAGAAAGGGAGCAATTAGGGAATGCTCTTGGCTCAGTTTATGTTGTTGAGGAACGGCAGCGATCCACCGCTAAATTAGCGAATCCTTGATACCCACAGCGCCAGTTTTGGACGTCGGTGTTCTGCAGGGTGCTGCCATACAAACGAGGCCCCTTACTACGTGTTTTCTTAAGGTTTGATCCTGGGGTGGCAGCTGAGCTCCTACGGCTTGGGCTTCGTGCTGGGGTGTAACACGGCTCTGCGTCTTGCAAGGTGTTGAGCCCCTTTGGTGCTTGGGTCAGGGTGGACAGGGAGCGCTCGGGAAAGGCTCAGGCAGCCCTGCAGGGCATCCGTGAGCCCTTTAACGTGCCTTCTGCCAGCACCGACAGCACGAGGTGGCCTTTGCTGCTTGCTAAATAGCTGACTTAGGAATGCCTGGCTCGCATACAACATCTGCTCGTGTATTTCTACCTAATTTCCAGCCAGATGGACCGAGGCACGGGGAGGTCAAATGACTCACGCAAGGTCAGGCTGATGTCAGAAATCTCCTCGCCATCTCGGCTGGACTCGTGCTACGTTGGCTGTTGTCGGAACAGATCCGGCCTGCGTAAGTAGCAGCCACATATGCAGAGCAGAAACCTTGGTTTCTCCTGCCTGGCAGCGAGCAGTAGGTGGTTGGTGGGTTTGAGGAGACGTGCCGTGTATCTTCACCCTGCACAGCCATCGTGCTCACGCCACCGGTATTCTTCGTGCGCACGCACACGTGCACGCTCGTAGTCGTGTTGGCTCAGGATTTTCTCTTCGCGGCAGCTTTGCATCGTCCTCTCATTGCTATCCAGGCAGTGTGCAGCATCTGTGGAACGAGCCCAGAGATAACTGGCTCATGTCTTCTTTACATCTGAGCACGTGTGTGTGTATATGTGTATATGTATGTGAGTCAGCAGCAAGGCTGAGCTCAAGTAAATGCAAGACAGCCTAATAAAATCAAAACCTGGAAAGAAAATACTTTTCTGCCTGTGAACTAATAGTCTGAGCTGTTAAATAACTTCAGCTCTTAAAGGCACACATTTCCCATACACAGAGGTGTGCATTCAACAGTTTATTGCAAGGGGAAGCTGAGAGAACCCAGAACAAATTGCGTTCAGCCCATATAATTTAATTAGATCTACAAACAAGGTAACACTGGTTGCCCAGGGGATTTAAAGCTGAGCTAAGAATTGCTTGGTGGTCTGTTGCAAAAGAAAAAAAAAATTTAAAAAACTAAGGCCCCCAATGTTGTGCCTCTGTGTTGATGGGGAATGGCGCGGTGTTTACCCAAGCCCTAGCTTGGAGCAGGAAATCTGTCCGCACCATGGAGCGAGCAGTCTAGCGTTGCCTTCAGCTCTTACTGGAGCACATGTGCCGGTACGCGCAGGCGAGGGTCCTTCTCCACGCTGCAGAGCGGCGCTTGTGCCGAAGCACATACCGTAATCGTTCGGCTCCGGATTCCCACTCTCCCTGTTCCTTTCCAGCTTTGCATTATTTTTGCGTAGTCTCGTACTGCTCTGAGTTGGTCGCAGCTTTGCAGGGAGTTGATTTCAGTGGACGCTGAAGTGATGTCTCGTGCCATGATATACCCGTTGGCCTCAAAATTTGCCGATCAGTGGCAAGCCCCTTACGAGGCCGGTTGTGAACCACCTGGCAACTTTTATCCGCTTGCTCTGCATCAGACCACGTAACAGAGCAATAAAACCTGTTGTAACACAGAGACTGTGTGGGTCCATTGCAGCGAGCGTTTTTATTTTGACGCCATCAGAAGTGTTCTCTGCATTTAACTTGCGTCTTCTAACACCATGGTGTTTTCCCAACTTGCACTTTCCTTTTTCAAGCTGCTTCTCATTTCAGGTTTATGAGGATAAGAATCTGTATCTGTGATAATTGTGTCTTTTCTCCTCCCGCTTTTCTTCTGCAGTCTACATGGAATAAATCGGCTCACCAGCCCTGGACAAACAGCGTAGCCAGGTACGGGGACGATATCACAAAAGAGCCTCTCTCTGCTGCGAACGGGTCGCTGAAGCTCCCTCCCAGCGCAGGACAGAAGCTTTTGTTACAAGCTCTGGTTTACGATGCCGTGATGGTGGGTGTCTTCAGTCATTTCTTGACTTGTGTATTCTGATGTGGTTTTCCCATTTATGCTCCTCACCTCCCTTTCTCCTTTTTCCGGCATAGGAGAAAATGTTTTCTTCTCTGAGCTAGCTTTACTTGGCTGAGCATAGGCTTTATTTTTTTTCCTGGATATAGGGGGGTGTGCAAGCGAGGCTGATGGGATTTGAGTAAAAGCTGTTTGTTTTTTCCAAGCATCACTCAAAGCCTCAGCTCTCCCCTGCTCTTCTGTCTTGACTCCAGCCGGCCCCTGAGGGCCTGTGCTGTGGGCCCGTTCTTCTGGTGATGGCCGAGCGGGGTGAGGCAGCTCGGCTGTCGGCAGGGCTGCGGCAGTCTCGCTTCCCTTTAGGAGACCTAATAAATGTTTATAAATATCTGCAGGGTGGGGGTCAGGAGGATGGGGCCAGACTCTGTTCAGTGGTGCCCAGCGACAGGACAAGGGGCAATGGGCACCAACTGGAGCAGAGGAAGTTCCAGCTGAACCCGAGGAAGAACTTCTTCCCTCTGAGGGAGGCAGGGCCCTGGA